CAAGAGGTCATTGGTCCAAGTACATTCAAGCTAGAACACCTATCAGGCAAGAAGGTCAAGAGGACATGGAATGCACAAAATTTGCACAAATATGAGGCGCCGGGATCGGAGGTAAGTACCATGTCAGGAGCAGAAGAACAGGCGCCTGAAGATGAGTGAGCATGCAAGGCTAGTCGGTTCTATGGCGGAGTTGTGTTTTTCTTGTATGTTCTGTTTTCCAAAGCGCCTAATTTTGCGCCCGCCCTATCCCGTAAAGCGCCCTACTCGCGCCCTTTCCATGTAAAGCGCCCTAATTTTGCGCCCAAACTTTTTGGAATCGGATTAATTATTATATGTGAAAGTGGATATCTAAGAGGTAACGACTTAGCGCCCACCTCATTGCGCCCCATATAGCGCCCACACCATTTGCGCCCAGTACAGCGCCCACGCTTTTGCGCCCGTGCAATTGACGAACAATGGAAGTGTTGTGCGCCCCCATAACATAGGCGTAGGAATGAAAAAAGATATAGCTAAAGCAAAACACAAAGTTTAATTGGCAAGCATAAAGAGTCTTGACACAAAAGAGGAAAACGGGGAATACACAAAAGAGTCTTGACACAAGCCGATGCATAAGCAATAATGGAAAATCACTAGGCGCCTAAAGCCTACTCGGCTGACCCACTGCCGGACTCAGAAGCTGAAGCATCATCATCATCGTCATCACCATCATCTCCTTCCTCGCCGTTATCCCCATCATCAAGCACTTCGTCTACTACGGGGCGCCCACTTTCCATGTAGGAAATCACGAACTCCACCCATAGAATTGACATTCCACTCAATGTCGGGATGATCGGCCGCTAACTTTCTTCGCAAAATCAGGATGCTATTGAGGGCAGCCTCTGCCTTAAGCGCCTGATCAGACTTGGGTTGGGCGCCTTCCTCGAGCGCATGCTTCTCATCCTCCAGCGCCTTCTTCTCTTCTCGAAGCGCCTGTATCTTCTTCAGTTGCTTCTCGTTTTCCCTACTCAGCTCCTTCTTCTCCTTCTTCAGAGTACGCTTATCTTGGCGAAGGAGGTCGATTTCGCTCCTGTAGGCGCCTGACTCCTTTTCCAAGTCAAGTTTCTCCTGTTCCAACTGCACCCTTGTCTCCTCATGCGCCCTCTTTTCTTCCTCAATCTGCGCCTCATACTCTTTGCGCAGCTTCTCCTTCTCTTCATCAACAGTGCGCTGCACAAGCGAGGCGCTCTTCGCGGCCTCAAGTTGGGCATCCTCGCACATCTTTATGAGTTCTTCTTGGCGATTTCTCGCTGTCTCGAGGTTATCTTGGGCCACACCAAGAGAAGTGGCCGCTTCGGTAGCCTCGGTGCACAGGGCCTCTCGCTCCATGACAGCCTTCTTGGCCGCAAGCATCATCTGCCAAAACGTAGTTAGGCGCCTGTCAGTATATACTCAATGGAAAAAAATGAACAAAGTAACGATCGAGCTACTTACTTGGGCATTTAGACGACACATCTCCGCCAATGGATCGACCTTTTCTAGCTCAAGGGGCGCCCGGAGCACGTCCCCAGCGGCTAGTGCCATGTGGATGGCAGAACTCCTCTCCAATGCGGCCCGGTCTGAACAAGTTATGGTCACCTTATGCTTCGGCGGTTGAAGCCATTTCTTCATCGACTCTGGCAGTTCTATGTCATCATCTAACCGTGGGCGCTTCCCCGACTCACCCTGGGCGCCGTCCACTTTCCTCTTCAGTCTTTGGGACAAGGGCACTTCATCTTCAACGACGTCCTCCACTTGAAGAAGGTCGACAATAGGCGTCGAGGCTTCTGTGGCCTCCGTTGCATCGGGCGCCTCCCCAGTACCCAAGGTATCAGTAGGCGCCTTGGGACTGAGAACCTTCTTGGGCTTGATCCTCTTTGGAGATTTGCCCTTTTGAGTTGGGCGCCCCTTGCTCACCGCAGGCTCAGGCGCCTGTGTTTCAATCGCGGAAGACTTGGCCCGGGTAGAAGTCGCGCTTTTGGAGGAGGTAGCCTTGCCCTTCCCACCGGATTTTTTGGCACCTTTTCTCGAAGTGGGCGCCTTCTTGGCCACCAACCCCAGGTTCGCGAACTGGGACTTCATCAAAGAAGCAACGGAGGTGAAGTTAGCACCTGCACAAACAAAAACAAAAGAAACCCGTTAAGCAGGCGCATGGAGCAGGCGGGAAGAAGAGTAGGCGCATGCAATATAATAGCCCACCGTCACGGTAATATTCATGCAAGACAGGCGTCCGGGCCTCAGTAGACTTAAGGCAAACAGGGTGCAACGAAAGAAGTCGGGCGCCTTCCTTCTCCGCGTCCGTCAAGGTTACCTCGATGTTAAATGCCTCGTGGTCACCAAACACCCATCCCCTTGTGAAAGGGGCGCCGCTTTCATAAAACGATTCTTTGCGTGGTTTCATGAATAAGAAGCCCCTAAACCACTCTCTACCTAGCTTAGGCGCCTCTTCTAAGAAGTGGCCGGGGATATCTAGGCGCCTCTGAAGCGAGAGGCAGTTGTTACTATACTGCATCTTAAAGAAGTGATGAAAAAGATTAAACGTGGGCTCAACGTTATGTTGCCGACACTTCAGTCTAAACAGAATATGGATAAGAAAAACCGAGGGTGATAGGCGCCCAATGGAGCATTTGCATGTTGACAAAATTCTTTCAAGAATCGGGTATAAGGGGAAGCGGAGCCCGAATCGGAAGTATTCCCGATAAATGCCAGGCCAACGGGGACCAATCATCCCAATGCGGGCCACGCGGGGCGCAGGCGCAAAGGACCAGGTGAGAGGAAGTTGTAGAGAGATGGCCAAGTTTTCTAATTCAAGCGCCTTTACAGTCGAAACCTGATCGGGACCAGCTTCGATCACGGTCAAATGACTGGTCTCAGTAGGCGCCTGACCAGATGGGAAGGTATCCACCCATCTCCTAATCTTGATGGATCCATCCGAGGGGGCGCCTGAATCAGATGACATCGGAGACATCACTAATTCAGCCAAAGGGGGAGATCCGGGCGCCGCGCCTAAAAGGTTCGAGGAAACGGCCACATCAATCCTACATTCTAGTGGTTGAGGGCGCCTAAAAAAAAAAAATCTTATAACCACTTACGCGGAGCGGGGTTTGAAGGCGCTGCCGAGCCGGGCGCACCACTGGTCGCTGGCGCCTGCGAGCTAGGAGGCTCCTCCACCACGACCGTATTCTCCTTTGCGGTAGATGCTTCAGGGGCGTTGGTTGTAATTGTCGCAGTTGCGTCATCACTAGCGGGCGCCTGACTCTTATTGCGAGCTGTCCATCCGCCAGCCTCGCGGAGGGGATCGGGAGAGAAGTGCTGGCCAACACGGAGAGAACGTCGGGCGCCGTGCCGGTGTCCTTCACCGCATCAGGAGAGGGGGCGCCTGAGCCAGAACGGCGAGACATTTTTCGGCACTTGTTTGTTGGTACAACAGGCGCCCAGGCGGCTAGGTTTAGAGAGAGGAAGTTAGAGAGAGAGGTTTCGCAAAAATGAAAGGAGGAGAAAGCGACCGGCGTATTTATATGAAGAGGAGCTCAACGGACAGATGTGGGAATGCGCGCCCGACCTTAGGATTAAATCCTCACCGTCCATTCCAAATTTAAAAAAAAATTCAAATTTCAAATTCAAATTTGGAAATGCACGGTGAGGGGGCGGGTGTATAGATGGGCGCCTGCTAGTGGGAAAAGGTTGGGCGCCTGATATAGGAGGTCAATAGGCGCCTATTATGTAGAATTGGTGGGAGAATGGGCGTTTTAGAGCAGTGCGGCAAAGGCGGGCGGAGAGCTTCGACAGGGGTAAAGGAAAATAGTGGAAGGCGGAGAGGGAAATCGAAGAAATGGGAAGAAAACCGTTTACAAGTTCTCAGTGGTGGACGCAGGCAAATGTCAATATAATGGTAGACACAGGGGGACAAGAGGGTATGGAGGAAGCGCCTATAGAGGTGTACACGGAGAGAGACACGGCTGCGAGGAGCGCACAGGTATAGTGGTGGGCATAGGGGGACAAGGGCGTGTAAAGGAAGCGCTCATAGAGTGGCGTACGAAAGGAGACACGACAGCAAGGCGTGTGCAGGAAGTGATATCGGCACATTTATACATAGTTAGGCACTCATCGTTAGCTATGAGCACCTAACTGGGGGACAATTGTTGGGGAAGTAGGAAAATGCGCAAGCCCATGAGGAGGGAAGGAGAAAGCAGGCCCAAACAATGAATTAGGGCACTTAGCGGAGGACAGGCGCATGACGACAAAAGAAGAATGTGGACAAGTGGTACGGAAGGAAGAGCTAGGAAAGAGGCCACCTGGCGAATTGGTCCCTGCTGGGCGCCCCCTATCGGGGTGTTCTCAGGCGGCCACGTACAGGCGCCTGACTCTTGTACGTACAATGCATTAAATGAAGCGATGACGTGGGTTCAAGTGCCAGGATGACCGTTGAGACTTCGGCGAGTATAAATAGTACTCGGTAGGTAGCATTTATGGAGGTTGGCTTCTCTCACTAAAATATTTCTTGGCACTTATCTCTCTAAAAAAGTGCACTGACTTGAGCTTCGGAGTGCTAACGGGTCGACCAAGGTCCTTAGGCGCTTGTGGGTGCAGGTTCCAGGCGCTCGTGTGACGGATAAGTGACGAGGTGGAGGATAAGCGCTAGAGGGTATCTTGGCACGAACAAGTATCATACAAGTGCACTATGGAGAATCAAACCCAGTAACATCCATCACACTCACACTCTTCCCGATGGTCTTGGACAGGCGAGGGACATAAATGTTCTTCCACAATGCACATGCAAATGCAGTATTATTGACTCCAGGCCACAATTATTGGTTTCTGCTTGCTGTGCCTGTGTGTCGTACACTAGAATAGACAGCAGCAGCAGCATAGTTGGGACCTCAATCAGCAAGTGCCACTATTTTTTACAGAAAGGGAGTGAGTGCATCTACATGGAGATTTGAATTGCCTTCAGAATCGCTCTACGACCTTATTACCTTACAACCATGTTTCCAATACTGGTTCGTGTTGCTCTGAGGAAGAAGCCTGCAGCTACATCATCTTCGATTTGGTCCCTCCACAGAGTACTATTACTAAGACCACCACCACCATCACTGACCTCCAGCAATCACCATTATCATCATCTCAAAATCAACCTAACCTCCGCAGAAACCATCAAACCGTCTTCCCCAACTCCCGCCGAACTCGCCACATTCAACTTCAAGCTCTCCCTCATCGACAACATAGTCCCGCCAATTTATGTGCCTCTCATCTTCTTTTTCCTTCCTGCTCCCGGATCCACGGGATCAAAACCCGCAGGGGAGAGAAATTTCGAGACCCTCAAGTCCTCACTCGCCCAGACCCTCACGCGCTTCTACCCACTCGCCGGCAGGTTGTCCAAATCCGTCGTCCATTGCAACGATGAGGGCGTGCCGTTCTCTTCCGCCGCGGTCGACGGCGACATCAACGATTCCTCCCTGGCTGATTTTCTCAGGAGCCGAATCGAAATCGACTCGCTCCAGCAGTTCCTCCCTTTCCCCGCCGAATGGATCTCGGACCTCGAATCGGTGCCGCAGATCGCCTTCAGGGCCACCGCTTTCCCCTGCGGCGGCCTCGCGATCGGTGTTTGCTCGTTGCACAAGATCGTAGACGGCCCCACTCTGGCCGATTTCTTGAAGCTCTGGTCCACCGTCGCCAGGAGCCATGAGAAAACGGCGGCGGCGGCAGTAGGCGGCAGCGCGTACGCTCACAATCGCGCTGCCACGTCACTCCTGCCGCTGCGGCACGGCGATGTCCCCGCAACCGCAGGGGATTTTGTGGCCCAACAAGGAGGGAAGATCCGAACGAGGAGACTCACATTCGATGAAGAAGCGGTTCACGCGCTGAAAGCCAAAGCGAAGAGCGTGGAGATACCCGACCCGACCCGGACGGAGGCGGTTGCTGGGTTTTTGTGGAAATGCGTGATGAGTGCAGCGGCCCGAGCTGCGTCGGCAGACGGGGCAAAACCCAGATCGGTTGTCTCAATCGGAGGTAATGCCAATATTTTGCGTTTTAAATGTACAAAGGTCAAAAACGCAATGAGCTTTCCACTACCCACCCACCACCTCGAGTTATTGTCGTTGATTGATTCATTTTATTTTATGCAATTTTTTATCATAGGAATGTCGGTTAACCTCCGATCCCGAATGAATGAGCCATGGCCAGATTACTCGATCGGCAACATGATCTGGACGGCTATGTCGTTGTACCACAACGATCACCAAAAAGACTCTTTAGATGATGGAACAAAGACACTGCAAGAGCTGGTACGTACATTGAGGGGGTCGGTTGCGAAACTTGATAAAGAGCTTATGAAAAAGTTACAAGGCGGAGATGGGAGAGAAGAGTATCTGAGGAATCTGGAAGCATTTTAAAAGCCGGCAACGGTGGCAGATGCTGCTGCTAAAAACGAGAGTATAATAATGCCATTTACAATAACTTCCACGATTGCACTGAGATTCTACGATGTTGATTTTGGATGGGGAAAACCTGCTTGGGTCACCATGGCTCAATTCCCCAACCTGATCCCGAATTTGGCCGTTTTGTTGCAGTCCCCCGGTGGATATGGTGCTGAAGTTTGGCTGACCTTGCATGAAAAAGAGATGGTCATGCTGGAACAAGAAGTTGAGTTTGTTACTTATGCTAAGAATAATATGCCTGTACTTTGAACCTTGTATGGCCCCGGCTACCTATTCTTCTGCTAAAAAAATCTTCCAACATTAGAAGAGTTGTATCAAATAAGTAAAAACCTACATTGCTTCTAATCGTTGGGTGTCATATAAGATAAATGCGATGTGCGGTCTATTTTCTATTTATCTCTACATGTGTAAAAATGAATATATTAATTTTCTGAAACCTTTTGCTATCGGTGACTAAGTCCCAATATTTATATGGCATAGGATCATAGAATGTGCTATATTTCTTAACCACCCTTGATTCTGAAACTACACCTAGTTACTTGTCATAACTAGCTATTAACTTGTATTTTGTGGTTGATATCAGTTAATTAGATCACTTCACCTTTGCTACAATTAGTGACTTCTCGTAGCTAAAGAGACCAATTAACTATAGTGAAAATTCATGGCTAAATTGTATTAATTGCTACAGTATATGAAATTTGAATGTGAAGGATACCAATTAACTATAGTGAAAATTCATGGCTAAATTGTATTAATTGCTACAGTATATGAGATTTGAATCTGAAGGATACAATCAGCTATAATCAATCTTGTCAATGGCTATACAATTTATTAAAAGCCACAGAGAGAAATATTTGTAGCTATTAGTTAGAAGGCTTAATACCCTATTTTGGCCTGAAGTTTGGCGATAGTGACGATTTTGGTCCCAACTTTTCAATAAGACAGTTATGGCCAACTTTTCAAAATATTGGACAGATTTGGCCTAAAATTTATTTTGACTGTTAAAACTGACGGTCAAAACTTATTCCGTTTAACTCAACATAAAAAATGTTGAGGTGGCTCTGACGTGGCTGCCACATCAGTTATTTAGTGGGTAATGTTGAGTTAAACGGAATAAGTTTTGACCGTCAGTTTTAACAGTCAAAATAAATTTTAGGCCAAATCTGTCCAATATTTTGAAAAGTTGGTCATAACTGTCTTATTGAAAAGTTGGGGCCAAAATCGTCACTATCGCCAAACTTCGGGCCAAAATGGGGTATTAAGCCTAGTTAGAATTAGCCACGAAGTGTTTATTTGTGACAAGGATTTTGTAGCTACATGCGATGATTGTTGTAGTGAAGAGACCATTGATTTCACAACATAGATTGAATCTAAGAATCATGTATGCTATTTCTTTTTCATGAGTGGTCACTGAAATTATACAAATATTTCACGTTTGCCACCCAAATTACTTTTCTTTTTTATCCGCAATTAACTTTATGAATCATTTCACTGTTAGTCACCGGCCGTTACACTCCGTTAAATTTGTCCTACGTGGCAGTCAACTATAAGGTTTGACCGTTAACTAGATGACGTGAAAATTTTAAAAATTAAAAAAAATATTTTTCCAACTCATTATTCCACTTACTTTGTCTATATGATTTAAGATTAAATTAAAACTAATTATTTAATAAAACTTTATTTTATGTATCTACGTATTTGTGTATCCTCTTTAGGTGAAGTATGCAAGTTCGTCCAAATATATGCTTTTAATGTCAATTTCAATCTCCAACATATTCGTTCCAGATGTGATCTCGGCCTGTTCTTCCATCCCATTCTGACAAGGGTTTGTAAGATTAGCTGCAATTAGACAAGTACAATCGCAAACAGCGAATCAGAAAAGAGATGAACAAACTTAACATACTAACTGAATGTTGATCTCTGGTAACAAGCAAAACAAAAAAGGCAGTAGAGAATGGGTTAAAATTTTGCATTTCGTGCTCTACCTATGAACAGAGCTCTCAAAAATGATATAGCAGTAAACTAAAAATGACAACAGCGCAGAAAGTTCATCTTTCTTTGTCAGGCTTTTCTCCCCTATTTTCCACCATGATCTTCCTTTTCTGGTGCTTCATCTCCTTAATGCCCAGATTTTGGGCTTCTCGAACCTACCAAGTTATCAAGATATGTCTTTCTCGTCACTACACTAGTAAGTGTTGGAAATTTGGTTGAACCGGACTAACCAAGTCAAACCGGTTTTGGGTTGGACCGACCAACCGGTTTGGTATTAGACCGACCGAACCGATATTCTAATTCCGTGAAGGGACACATCCCTTTGGCCTAGTGGCGGTTGCATTATTTTATGGATAAGGATAACCTTATGGATAGAGGCAACCCTTCATATGGATAAGGATAACCTTTCATATGGATAGAGGCAACCTTTCGTATGGATAAAGGCAACCTTTCATGAAACAATGCATGGATTCGGCTCCTATAAATATGTGTGGGGTGGATGATGCCACATACCATCAAACAGATTTTTCTTCTTTCTTCCAAAAATTTCTAAGTATGCTTTAGTGTTCTTGAGCCTGGAACCTAAAGTGGTGATAGTTTTATCCTCGGGAGAAATTTCCTGTAACCCAAGGCTTTGTAGAGGGTGGAAATATTCTTTTCGGAAAGTGAACGTAGTTCACGACTCTATCATAATCCTAGTCACCCGGTCTTGGGCTATCGTACGTGTACCCTCGTCCCTAAAAGTCCCAACAATCGAAAAGAATATTTTTCCGGTACGATGGCTCGAACCGCTCTTTACAAGAAACCGGTTCCGGTCTATGGAATTATGAGAATGTTCGATTATGGGTTTTTCATCGATGGCAGTAGAAGATGGGTTTTCTTCATACTTATCTCATGGTGTATTCCATATCCGAAAGGTAACTTGGAAGAGGGATGATTCGAAGATGAGGAAGAAGGAGAATGATTCGTAAAATGGAGAAATAGAAGAATGAAAATTGCCTTTGGGTAGGTCACATACTCAATGGTTAATTGGTCTAATTCTCTATTCGACATTTACGAAGTTCTAGATAAACTTGGATTTGTCTAGTGGTTTGGTGGTGTGATTTTGTCTAGTGGTTTACGTTAAACCAAAGAGACGAAATTGTGTATACAATGTTTGATGATTCTGGTAATAGAGTCGTTGTGTTTGTATGTAAATGACATATTTATCTTTGGGACCAATCAAAGATAAGTGATTTTGTCAAGTGGTTTATGTTATTTTAAACAAGGAGACAAAATGTGTACACAATTTATGATGATTCTGGTAATGAAGACATCGAACATTCGTATGTATAAGACATGCTTATCTTTGGAACCAATAAAAGATAAGTAAACTTTGATAAAAAGTTGTTATTTAAATTCTCCACGTGGGACATGGGGGAGGCAAATGTGATTCTGTGTATTGAATCAAGCGGAACGACAAGAAAGAGTCATTCTCTCAATTTTTCTGCATGAGAAGGTACTTGCATAAATTCCATAGTAGGAATTGTAGTGAGTTCAAGACCCCAATGGATCCAAGTATGGAACTTATGGTTAATACTGAAAATCAGTTTTACAACTGGAGTATTCCATGTTAAATTGAGGGCTCGATGTATGCATGATTTACATGATGCTAGATATCGCATATGCGATAGAACAATTAAGTTGGTATGTGATGAATCATAGTTCTCATCATTTGAAATGAAATGAGGCGTGCACTAGGATATGTCAAAGGCACACTGTTGACTTATAGTGGCTTTCCATCAATTTTGGAAAGGATTTGTTGATGTTAGTTGGATTTCTCATGTTAAAGGTGATACTTCAACATTGAGATGAGTCCTCTTGCTTGGGAGAGATGCCATAGTTTGGGCCTCTAGAAAGCAAACTTGCATCACTAAGTTTCACTATGGAATCAAAGTTTGTGTGACCTTGATTTCGCTTAGAGAAGAGACATAATTGTTGAGAGGTTTGGTTTATGACATATATTTATGGCCTAAACCAAACTCACCTATTACTATCTTTTGTGATAGTAATGCTAATTTGGCTAAGGCATATAGTCAAGTGAAAATGATAAGTACGGTCAGGTGGGAGTATGGCACGGTAAAAGCTGTGAACTGATCATTCATAGTGTTGTGTCTAGACAATATGACCAAACTTGAATTAATTTGGTTGATCATTTGACGAAGTGGTTAACTAGTGACTTGGTGATTAAGTCTGTGAAAGGGATGGATTAAAGTCCATATAATTTCTGGTAATGGGACACCCAATTCCCCTCTAATACAACGTTAGAGGCTGAATTCAATGTGGAAAGCTTATTATCAGAAATTGAAGCACACAATTTTTCATCCCGAGGTATGTGCTTGTTATCCTGCATGAGAGAAGAGGATGAAGTTCAAAACTTCTTAATTGAATCTTTGAAAAAGTGTATTATGCGGGTACACGAATAAGAGATTCAACCTACGTAAGCATGAAGTGTAGCCGCTTCAAGAAACCCGGACTTTGGTTTCGTATGCGCTTATGAGAAGGATTGGACACATGGCGGATAATAGTGTCAAGGCGCTTAGAAGTTTTGAAAACTTAAGTGTATATTATCTTCGAATATTCATATGAGTCAATGGGTTCAATCGTTACCGACACCCTTTGTATTCGAGTATTCGTCAAGTGTAATATACTAAGGTGAAAATTCAATCGTCACGACATTTTCATTTATGCTTAAAGTTTTGTTGGAAGAATGTTGTGATTTTAGTGAATTCTATGAATACACTAAAATGGGGGAGGAATGTTGGAAATTTGGTTGAACCGGACTAACCAAGTCAAACCGGTTTTGGGTTGGACCGACCAACCGGTTTGGTATTAGACCGACCGAACCGATATTCTAATTCCGTGAAGGGACACATCCCTTTGGCCTAGTGGCGGTTGCATTATTTTATGGATAAGGATAACCTTATGGATAGAGGCAACCCTTCATATGGATAAGGATAACCTTTCATATGGATAGAGGCAACCTTTCGTATGGATAAAGGCAACCTTTCATGAAACAATGCATGGATTCGGCTCCTATAAATATGTGTGGGGTGGATGATGCCACATACCATCAAACAGATTTTTCTTCTTTCTTCCAAAAATTTCTAAGTATGCTTTAGTGTTCTTGAGCCTGGAACCTAAAGTGGTGATAGTTTTATCCTCGGGAGAAATTTCCTGTAACCCAAGGCTTTGTAGAGGGTGGAAATATTCTTTTC